TGATGTAACCTTAAAACTAGTGATCGAAACTAAGATTTGTAGGATTCTTTCTTTTTTTAGAATTTCCTACAATTGATAGAGAAAAAACCATAAATTTTGAGTTGGTAAGAATTTGTTGGGAGAAATCGCTAGGACCTTAAGACTTTTAATTTTTTTTTAAATTATTTCATTTTATATAGGATTAATACGTAGTAAATGTTGACATATGTAACTGAAAAATATTAAGTAATGGAGTTACAATTTTGGTAAAAGATAATAATTGTGTTTAAAAAGTTAGTCACCAATATTTAAAAAATTAAATTTAGAATAAAAAATAAATAAATAAACGAAGAGTACATGTGTCACAAAATAAATTGTCAAATACAATGTTATCTTAAGAGGTATAGCGTTGTCAAATTAGACCATATTGATAATCAACAAGAAAACAAATATTTTCTACTTCATTCACTTAAAAAGGTATTTTTCTCAATAAGTATTAAAATTATATCATTAGATTACATAAACTCCTGAACTCCATATATTGTTTCACGGTTTTCAGGTTATTGTGAAACTATAATGATAAATGGGACTTCATAAATTCATGTGTAGAGAACATATTTGCATTCTTTTTTAACCTTTGTGAAAGTGGGGATGATAATATATAGAATGTTTATGATGATTAAATTTGCATATTCAAATCTTTTGCCAACCTTTTCGGATCTGAGCTAACTTATATTAAAATTATATCATTAGATTACATAAACTCCTGAACTCCATATATTGTTTCTCGGTTTTCAAGTTATTGTGAAACTATAATGATAAATAGGACATCATAAATTCATGTGTAGAGAACATATATATTTGCATTCTTTTTTAACCTTTGTGAAAGTGGGGATGATAATATATAGAATGTTTATGATGATTAAATTTGTATATTCAAATCTTTTGCCAACATTTTCGAATCTGAGCTAACTCCGAGCTTTCTAACTTTTATTTCTCATACCATTTCTTACAATTGTTTCATACTTGAATCCCTGTAAAATTATTGATATTTTTATGTTTTATGTTATGATTTACTTTATGTATACAATTTTGTATATGTTTTATTTACATTTTTCATGTTTTGAAATTTGTCACCTTATCTAAATGAGCAAGATAAACATATACCAAACATAATATTGTTCTTGTTTTGTACAAACAAGAAGATGCTATATTAATTAGATCAACACCATCGGTTCCATAATACTCTCCGTGCAAAATCCTCATTGGATCAAATAAGTGGGATTGGTGATGAAGAATTGTTAGACCCGGGCTTGGTCTACCCAAGACAAATGGAGAAGTGTTTCGTCGACTCCCGGACGATACTTCCATCGCATTTTCCGAAGTCGCAGACTTTCAGAGACTAGATATGAAAATTGATGCATATGTCATCAGGTTCACGGTTCCTGGTTCCCGAGAAGTGTTTATCCAAAGTACACTTATTGTCTTTTGTTTTTTTTTTTGTTTTTTTTTTTAAAATTAACAACTAAGCTTAATTATTTATTTTCTTCTTCTTTCTTTCACAGTTTTGGGACTCATTCAACCGTCATCTAAAAGATGATGGTACGGTCGTTATGGAGTGGCCCGAAGAGATGACTCTTAGCTCTGTCATCTGCTCATTGATCACCATATTCACCAACATGGATCGATCTCGGTTTGATTGATATGTTGATCGGTGAACAGCTTTTTGACTCGGGTTTTGATAATAGGTAAATGTTTGGATATTGAAAACTTTCAAATGGTTTGTTAGACTTTCTCAGATCCAAAAGTTTCAAATAGCAGTCAACTACAAAACCTATCTAAGAAGACAGTATAACATCAATGCCAAATTGATGGGGAAAACAAATAAATTCTTACAGGATTTAGCAAAAGTTCTAGGTTCGTCCTACAAAATTAATTTAGCAAAAAACATGCGGATAATAAGATTCTACTTAAAATGGGAATTATACAAGAGCATGCATCTTCGGTGAGCTTATAAACTTTAGTTCAACCTCGGGATTATTATGCCTTTCAACTTCTTGACAAGGAAAGTTCTGCAAGTAGAGAAATATAGAAGTTTTGCGGAATATATATCATGTAAAGATGATATATTACAAGAACTTTACATGGCCCCTTTCGCCTAGTTGTACACAATGCATAGGTTTTCGACATTGGGCACCAAATATTGCGAGACAAAATGCCAAAAGTAAAGTGAATGATGGTACATTATCCCTAATCAACAACTAAAAAACTAATTACAGTAAAACCTCTATAAATTAATAATGTTGGGACCATAAAATTTTATTAATTTAGAGAGGTATTAATTTATCGATAAATTAATTTATAGAGAAATTTTACTAATTTTATAATTTTTTAAAAAATTTCTATCTAAAAATTATTTTTTTCTTTATAAGCAATATCTTTTTTAAACCAATTGCAAGTAGTGAAGCAATTATTAAGTTTAAAAAACAACACAATATTTTTTTCGAATAATAAAGTCATATTTCATTAATTTTTTTACATATAATATTTTAAATATATATCATAGTAATTCATATATGATATATATAAATTTATATCATATATATTAAGTTAAATATACATATATATATATATATATTGATAAGTTTATACAATTATTAATTTATACTATAGATGGGACCATATGTTTATATGCGATTTTCAAAAAAATTATTATTTTATTAATTTATCGATTTATGTCATAATTTACACTGATCCCAACTCGGGACAGGAAAAATTTATTAATTTAGAGAGGTTATTAATTTATAGAGGTTTTACTGTAGTATACGTGAGAATAACACACCAGAGGTGGAACATGGATTAAGGGAATACACAAACATGAAGCTTTTATTGCCTTAAGTAAGCATAATTAATCATAAATATGGAGACTTCAATTTGAGACATATGCCATGATATCTTGAACCAAAATAGTTGGTTGTTGGTACCTATAAGCACATAGCTGCCTCGAGTGTAATATTTATGCATGCTAGATACAGCCGTAATGACTTTGCCTGGAACATCAAAGACCCATCAGAAGCAAATTGTAAATGATTATTGCAATTAATAAAGTATACATCACCAAAAGCACTTATCCAAAACTCTGTAGTTTGTACTCTGTACCATGTTTTATGACCCAAGAAAAGAAAAAAGAGTAATTATACTGCATACCCTAAGACCACAAAGTATTTAAGTCAAAGGAGCAGTAGCACGTTCGTAAATAATGGGTCTTTTGAAAACATGGAAAAAAAATAATAATATCCCTCGAATCAAACGCATCATTTCTTCTTATTTGCTTTCTTCTTCCTTCTTCTTTCTTTCGCTTTCTCTCTCTTCAATTCTTTATTCATTTTCTTTTTCTTTACTTTATGAAATACTCCATATGACTCTCTCTAATTTTCTTAAAGTTGATTGTATCCTGAATTATGATATTCTGAATTCATTAAATTGATTAGATTTTTCTGATCAAAATGCATACCATGAACCTCATCGAACTCTTGATACCAAGACGTCACGAATGTGTGTCGTTCGTTATTATTGAGCTTATGTTAGAGATGATAACAGATATCAGATATCGTTATATCATGAGATATATTTATAAACCTTGATATATATTTATATAGCACGATATTTTAATATATATCATATTATATATTGAGATATCATGATATATGTTATGATATATATATTGATATATCATGACATATATTGTTATATCATGATATATAGTGAATATCATATTATATCAGGATATATAGTGATATATCAAGATATATAGTGATATATCTATAGTGATGTGTCATATGTAAACAATATCAATAGAATATTACGATGTATGATATATATTTATATATCACGATATTTTAACATATATCATATTATATATTGAGATATCATGATATATATTGATATATTATGAAATATATTGCTATATCATGATATATAGTGAAATATCATATTATATCATGATATATAGTGATATATCAGAAAATATAGTGATATATCTATATGCATATATCATATGTAAACAACATTATTAAATATTACGATGTAAGATATATATTCATGTATCCGATAAAAAACAAGATATCACGATACGTAATTGCATATCAGAATATATTATCGATACATGCATTTAATAAGTGGGAGCCCACAGAATATTGCATGATATCCCTGTCCCCTACGAAATTCTCGGAGGGAAAACTCCCGCATTTATTTCAGGGGTATTTTCGTCTTGTTTTTTTGAAAACAAATATTTTTCTCTCTTGTTTTGCAAACAAAAAAACTTGTTTATGTCACACCTAATTATTTCTCAAGAAAAATGTTTTCTTCTTCGTCGAGCTCTCGAGAATCTCCGAGCATGCAGCTAATTGACTCAAGAAAAAATTACTTTAGGGTACCGTTCGTATTTATTCATTATACTTCTATCATTCTATGAGTCCACTAACGGTCCAGAGTAGTTTGTTTCATATTTTTTTTTTAAGAGTACGAAACGACGCCGTTTGACCTGTCAGTTTCTTACACAGAGCTCGGAGATTCTCGAGAGCTCGACGAAGAAGAAAACTTTTCTTGTTACCTGTGAGGTTGCGACAATGGCTACGCGATCTGGAATTGGGTTATCGACGGTTTTGATTTTAGCTGGAGTAGGTATCTAGAGTTTCTCAATCATTTCATTTTCCCCAATTATGGAGTTTTTGAATATTTTTTTTTTTAAAAACTTTTTTTGCTTATTTTTTGTCTTTGAATCATTTTGGATTACAAGGGAGTAGTAAAGAAAAAGGTTTCTTTTTTTCCTCAAAATTTGAAGGCTGAGATGAAGATTCTGATGCCATGACTACTCAGGTAAATTTTGTGTTATGGATCTTGAACTGAAGTGTGTGTGTGTGTGTGTGTGAATAGTCTGGAATTATTTGAAAAAAGATCAAATTTTTGGAACAATCATATATATACATGTGTGAGAATGGAGCTTCGGCAATTCGATTTCGTAGTCCTGACTTTAAACCGTTTACAGTCCTGACACGGCATTAGGAGCTTTAGGATATGGCTACATGTGGTTCAAGGTATCTTATAGAGTTATAAAGTTAATACTAAAGTGTTATGGGATAGATTCTCGAAAGTAATGATTGTTTCTGTGGTAGGAGATTTCATTCTCTGATGTCATTTGCATAACAAAGCGGAACATGGAAAATGCGGTGTGGAACTTGACAAAGCATTTGGATACTGTTTCAGAAGCTATTTCTGTGAGTGGTTCTTTGATCGGATCAACTGTTTCTACTTGTATCAGGCCTTTAATAGAATCTTAATTGTTTAGTGTTTTTGCTTGTTTTTGTTGTTGGTCAGAATGCTAAGAAGCACCTGTGTCACCGGCTCGGCTTCAGAAGGTGGACGATAAGCTGGACTTGCAGAAAGATCTCTTAAAGACAGTTCATGATAAATGTATGAATATTGTCATAATTTTTCAAGAGTTGTTCCTTTGAGGGTGGTGTTAACAAGTTTCAGATATATGGGACAGGTGGGTTTGGCTCTTGCTAACATTGGAGATGATTTTGACGCATTGCATGTTTGGTAAATAGCATTGAGTACACCAAGCAGGTAAGGTACTTATTTATTTCCGCTATTGTTTAAGAAGTTAGGCCTCCAACTTTTCCCCTTCACCAAAGAGAAAAAGGTAAATATATATTTTTTCCTATGAGAAAAAAAAAAGCTATTTTCCTAATCTAATTCGAGTTTCACTATAAAACCTCTCTGTTCCCATTAGGGTTTCTTTCTCTCCGTTTAAAATTTGTGTATTTCTCTCTGTTTGATTTGATTCTAGGTTTTTGGATTTTTTGATGGCAAACTTGGGAGGCTTCAAGCAGTATGAGGACAAAGCCAATTCTAGTCATCCTCGCGATACACATGATCCTACAGGAGAACCAGAAACTCTGTGGGGAATAATTGATCCGAGGTCTTTTGGTGACCGTGTTGATAAGGGAAAGCCTCAGGAGTTGGAGGATAAACTTAAAATGTATAAGAAGAAGAAGGAGCGTGATGTTGTAGATGATACTGTTAATCTTCGGCAGAGTAAGAGGCGACGTCTTAGGGAAGAGAGTGTGCTCACTGATGATATGGATGCTGCGGTTTATCAGCCCAAGAGTAATGAGACTAGGGCTGCTTATGAGGCTATGCTTTGTCTTATTCAGCATCTGTTGGGTGGGCAACCTTTGAGTATTGTTACTGGTGCTGCAGATGAGATTTTGGCTGTTCTCAAGAGTGAAAAACCTGAGAAAAAGATGGAGATCCACAAGTTGTTGAACTATATTGAAGATCGTGAGTTTGATCAGCTTGTTTCCTTTGGGAAGTTGATCACCGACTTTCAAGAGGCTGGTGATTCTTCTGGTGGTGGTGAGGATGATGAGGATAATTTCGGCGTCGCTGTTGAATTTGAGGACAATGAAGAGGAGAGTGATCAAGAAGACATTGTTCAAGAGGAAGATTGTGAGGAGGATCAAGAGCTTTCCAGAACTGGAGGTATGCAGGTTGGTGCAGGGATTTATGACAAGGATGCAAATGAGGGATCAAATCTTAATGTTCAAGACATTGATGCATACTGGCTCCAGAGAAGGATATCTCAAGCATATCAACATAAGATTGATCCACAACAATGCCAGGTACTCGCTGATGACCTGCTTAGGGATGTTGAGAACAAGCTGCTTCTGCACCTTGAAAAATTTAGCACAACAATGCACTTTGAAAAATTTAGCCTCGTTCATTTTCTGCTGCGGAACCGTCTTAAAGTTGTGTGGTGCACTCGTTTGGCTAGGGCACAAGATCAGGAACAGAGGAACCGAATCGAGGAGGAGATGAGGGCTTTTGGCCCAGAGTTGACATCAATTGTGGAGCAGTTGCAGGCAACTAGAGCTACAGCAAAGGAGAGGGAGGAGAACCTTCAAAAAAGTATCCATGAAGAAGCTCGTCGTCTGAAGGAAGAAGCTGGTGGAGATGTTGCTGACAGAGATTTAGAGAGTGGCTGGGTGAAGGGCCAGCGTCAGTTGCTTGACCTGGAGAGCTTGGCTTTTGACCAAGGCGCTCACCTGATGGCGAATAAGAAGTGTGACCTTCCCCCTGGGTCTTACAGAATTCATGGCAAGGGATATGATGAAGTTCATGTCCCATGGGTTTCTAAAAAGGTGGATAGAAATGAGAAGCTTGTAAAGATTACCGAAATGCCTGATTGGGCCCAACCGGCTTTCAAGGGAATGCAACAGTTGAACAGGGTTCAGAGCAAAGTGTACGAGACTGCACTTTTTAAGACAGAGAACATTCTTCTTTGTGCTCCCACTGGTGCTGGGAAAACCAATGTTGCTATGCTGACCATACTGCAGCAACTTGAATTGAATAGGAACGAAGATGGAACTTATAACCATGGAGATTACAAAATTGTCTATGTTGCACCCATGAAAGCCCTTGTTGCTGAAGTTGTAGGTAATTTGTCTAATTGTCTGAAGGATTATGGAGTTACTGTGAGAGAACTCAGTGGGGATCAGTCCCTAACTGGGAGAGAAATTAAAGAGACTCAGGTAATTGTTACAACACCAGAGAAATGGGATATCATCACTAGGAAGTCTAGAGATCGAACTTATACTCAGTTTGTGAGACTTCTCATAATCGATGGAATTCACCTCCTTCATGATAACCGAGGGCCTGTGCTTGAAAGCATTGTCGCTAGGACTCTTAGGCAAATTGAAACCACGAAAGATAATATTCGTCTGGTGGGTTTATCTGCTACACTGCCAAATTATGAAGACGTGGCCTTATTTTTGCGGGTTGATCTTAAGAAAGGATTGTTTAAATTTGACAGCAGCTACAGACCTGTGTCTCTCTATCAGCAGTATATTGGAATCAGTGTGAAGGAACCGTTGCAGAGGTTCCAATTGATGAATGATCTATGTTATCAGAATGTACTGGCTTGTGCTGGAAAGCACCAGGTCCTTATTTTTGTTCATTCGAGAGAGGAAACAGCAAAAACTGCAATAGCATTATGCGACACTGCAATGGCGAACGATACCCTGAGCAGATTCTTGAAGGAAGATAGTGAAAGTCGTGAAGTTCTTTTGAATCACTTCGACTTTGTTAAGTATTATGACCTGAAAGGAATTCTGCCTTACGGGTTTGCAATTCATCATGCTGGGTTAACAAGAAGTGATCGTGAGATTGTTGAGGGTCTTTTTGCTAAAGGGCATGTGCAAGTCTTGGTTTCCACAACAACTTTCGCTTGGGGTGTGAATCTGCCTGCACATACCGCTATTATAAAAGGAACCAAGGTGTATAATCCTGAAAAAGGGGCGTGGATGGAGTTGAATCCTCTAGATGTTATGCAGATGCTTGGTCGTGCTGGAAGACCTAAGTATGATCAACATGGGGAGGGTATAATTATCACTGGCTATACCGAGCGGCAATATTATCTTTCTTTGATGAATGAGCAACTACCTATTGAAAGCCAGTTTATTTCTAGACTTGCTGATCAGCTTAATGCTGAAATTGTGCTCAATCACTGATCAATCACCAGATGTTCTCTTTTGAAAACCCAAAATGCACAGACCCTCCTGTGAAGGCAAACACGCTTCTTCAAGCGCATTTCTCAAGGCAAAACATCGACGGGAACTTGGCAATGAATCAATGTGATGTCCTTCTATCTGCAAGACTGCAACCAGACTTCTTCACGCGATGGTCGATGTGATATCGAGCAATGGCTGGCTGAATCTTGCTCTGTTAGCTATGGAAGTAAGTCAGATGGTGACTCAAGGCATGTGGGAGCGAGACTCTATGCTTTTGCAGCTCCCTCACTTCACAAAGGTCTTGGCCAAGAGGTGCCAGGAGAATCCGGGTAAAAACATTGAAACCGTAGTCGATCTTGTGGAGATAGAAGACGAAGAACGCCAAGAGCTTCTGAAGATGTCAGACGCTCAGCGTCTAGATATTGCCAGATTCTGCAACCACTTCCCAAACATCGACCTTACTTATGAGGTTATGGGAAGTGAAGAGGTGACCCCAGGGAAAGAGGTTACATTGCAAGTGATGCTTGAGAGAGACATGGAGGGGAAGACAGAAGTGGGACCCGTGGAGTCACTCAGGTATCCCAAGACCAAAGAAGAAGGATGGTGGCTGGTTGTGGGCGACACCAAGACGAACCAGTTACTGGCAATCAAGCGTGTCTCATTGCAACGGAACGTGAAGGTGAAGCTGGCTTTCACAGTACCAAGTGAACTAGGAGAGAAGTCATACACACTATACTTTATGTGTGACTCTTACTTGGGCTGTGACCAAGAGTATTCTTTCTCGGTTGATGTCAAAGGATCTGGCGTTGGAGATCACATGGAAAAATGAATTGCTGATTCTGGAGAGTGGTAACTTGTCTTCCAAATAGTTTGTGAGTTTTGGTGTGAGTATTCGTGTTTTGAGTTTAATTTGACTATCTGTTTCAAATTTGGTTCATGTCTCTTAGCTGTTTTCTTTAATATATTTGGATAAAGTTTGTGAATGTTGGTGTTAGCGTTCGCGTTTATGTGTGTTTGAGTTTTGGCTATCTATATTCTGATTCATATAGCATTGAGACAAAATCTGGAACTAGACTTGGAATCTAGACGCTTTAGGGATTTAAGTGTTGGTTTTAGCTCGGTAAAAAACTAAAAATAGTGAAAAGCTTCATGCTTTTTTGCCATTGATCTAGGCTCGTTCTTAGTAAACTAGACTTCATATCCATTGCAGCCATGTCTTACCTTGACTTGATAGCCTGCTCTTAAGATAAGCATCATAAGGGGTAGACATTTTTAAATCTGGTTTACATTATCTGTTCCAAATTCGGTTCTTGTCCCTTGTTGTTGTGTGTTAGCTGCTTTCTCATCTCAACCAATTTGGAAAAAAAAACGTTTATGAATTTTTGGAATTAAGGTTTGTGTTTTATGTGTTGTGAACATCTCAGTATTGGTCTGATTATGCTGATGGTAACCTGTTTGACATTTATACTAAATCTGCAACTTAAAACTAAAATGTAGACACTTTAGGGGTTGAATTCAAGAACTTGTCGGTTGCAGAGTTGGTCTAAGCTTGGTACAATAGTGAAAAGTTTCATACTTTTTTACCATTGATATAGAAAAACAAAGTATACATATGGTTACTCGTCTTAGTAGATTTTGATTTGGTATTTCTTTCAGCCAATTCTTACATTAACTTGATAGCCTGCAATAAAGTTAAGCACCAGAGGGCTTTCTCTGTTTCTCTGTTTTGTTTGTGGAAATACTTGAATCTGGTCTATGGTTCTAATTGAATAACCAGGGGGTTACATGGGTGATTAATCTAATAGGCAGATATATCTCAAAATAAGCCGCCCTAAGCTCCCTTCATGCATTATTCGCATGATTACTAATACTTACTTTCGACCGCATCTGAGACCTGCTGAATACAAAAGGTCGAGGTTGGCAAGGAACGAGAGGACAGTGGATCGTGCATATGGTGGTGTTCTATCTGGAGTAGCTGTTAGGGAGAGGTAAGTGTATTGTAAAGATCTCTTAAAAAATTGGTTTCTTAGAGATTAGCAACTAATCTTGCACTTCTTTTCTGTGCAGGATTGTCAGGGCCTTCTTGGTGGAAGAGAAAGATTGTTAAGAAGGTTTTGAAGCTTCAAAAGGCAAAGGTTCTGATTCATTTGGCATTGCGACAACCTGTTCTGGTCTTTTACTATCCCTCTGTTTGACCTCTAGGGAATACTACGATTAGCCCAGTGCTAAAACAAAAACCATTTAGTTAACCCATTTTATGTATGTATGACTTGTGCCTGGTTTTGTTTGGACCAAAGGAGCCACTGTCAAAACTAATTTGAGTTTATGAGTTTGAAATCTGAGATTGCTTAAGAGAATTTTGAATGCAGCGGTGTTCATTTTGTAAAAAAATAAAATGGAAAGGGAAAAACTATTATTTACTGATATTGTTCGTAGATTTTTAAGTTTTTCATCTTTGAGTAAGAAGACTGCTTGATTTATGGCATTCTTATTACTGCAGTTTCTAAGGGTGTTTTTGTTTCCTCTTTTGCTTAGTTGAGTAACTGTGATTATGATCACAAAACTATTCTGTATGATGGGATTTTTCCCAAACTTAGTGATTTATCCAAGAGCCCCATTGATAGTCATTTATACTTTCCAAGCACAAACTGTGATGCAGATTTGCTTGCAACAGATCAAGACGTCTACGTTAAATGGTGTATCAGAATTATGTAGAACAAGTTCATATGTTTGACAAGAAAACTCTCTTTTTTCGATATGGTTAAACTCGGGTTAAAATCATTTTTGAGGAACATGGATGGCTCTTGAAATAGATAGTTTAGTTAATGAAGTTTTGTTCTCTGTTGTAATCAATATTTTTGAAAACTTGAAAATAAATGTCTGAAACGGAAACGCTTGAATTTGCGTTTGAAAATCAAAGGATTTATTATTGGGAAAAATGTCGTTTTATCTCCCAACTTTCAAAAAGTGGCCAATCAATACGTCAACTTCATATGTGGCCATTTAAAACATGAAATAAATGTTGACTAACGTTTGAGACATAGAAATTCGTTGACCAGGCCAAAATAGACATGCCGTTATCAGTCGTTAACGGAACCTCTAACGCCCGTTATCACCCATAACGACTCTGTTAATCAACTTTCAAATTGTGGCCATTTTAAACATTAACTTCATATGTGGCCATTCAAAACATGAACTAATCGTTGACTAACATTTGAAACATTAGAATTTGTTGACTAACATTTGAAACATTAGAATTCGTTGACCAGGCCAAAATAGACATCTCGTCATCATTCGTTAACAGAACCTATAACATCCGTTATCACCCGTTAATGACACTGTTAGTATGTCCAAAAAGATTTTTCCCAAATGAAAACACCAAATCCCCAAATCTATTTCTACAACAGCTCAAACAAGATGAATAGTCCTATTATCTCTATCTCTATTTCAGAAAAGCTACATTTAGTCTAGGCTTGGGCATAATACCCGAACCCGAAGAACCGAACCGAACCCGACCCAAAAAATCTGACCCGAACCCGAACCCGAAGTTTTAAAATACTCGAACGGATTCTAAACTAGACAATCCGAAAACCCGAACCCGACCCGAACTCGAACCCGAAGAAGTACCCGAACATACCCAAAATATAAGTACATAGTTATAGTATATTAGTAATATTTATACTTGTAATAACCTAAGTGCCAAAATTATTCGGATGTTAAGATATTTTCGGGTGTTTTAGCTACTTTGGGTTAGATTCGGGTTAAAATACTTGGGTTTTATAGATTTTTTGTGTATTTTTCAATACTTTGCATAGGATCGGATACAAAATTTCTAATATTTGGATACTTTGGGTAAACCCGAATCCGAACCCGAAATACCCGATCCGAACCCGACCCGAACCCGGAGTTTTAAAATACCCGAACGGATCTTAGTTTTCTAAACTCGAAAAACCCAAACCCGAAAATTAAAACCCGACCCGAATATCCGAACGCCCATGCCTATTTTAGTCCTATGATGGGTCTACAAGTTTGCTTCCATGATTCCTTTTTAGATTTAAAACAAATATATAAACGATGTTTGCTTCCAATCACTGGCTCTACGATTGTCTATATATCAAACCATGTCCTTGGATTATGCTTTAAACAAAAAATTTGTCCTCGATTATTTTCAAAACGACGTCGTTTGGATATACTAACAGAGTCGTTAACGGGTGATAACGGATGTTATAGGTTTTTTTAACGAATGATGACGACATGTCTATTTTGGCCTGGTCAACGAATTCTCATGTTTCAAATGTTAGTCAACGATTAGTTCATGTTTTAAATGGCCACATATGAAGTTGATGTTTAAAATGGCCACAATTTGAAAGTTGATTAACAGAGTCATTATGGGTGATAACGGGCGTTAGAAGTTCCGTTAACGACTGATAACGGCATGTCTATTTTGGCATGGTCAACGAATTTCCATGTCTCAAACGTTAGTTAACGTTTATTTCATGTTTAAAATGGCCATATACGAAGTTGACGTATTGATTGGCCACTTTTTTAAAATTGGGAGATAAAACTACATTTTTCCCATTTATTATTATATGCATCTACTTTATTTTCGTAATTAATTGTAATTGTTATTTACGAGGTTATCCTACAATGATGATACTAGACGAAATAGTACGAAATATTAAGCCTTTACTCTGCAGAGGAAAAAGATGAACAAATCTGTATTACCATATTTACCCTTCCTTTCTTAGACAAACAATTCGTCCATTGTGTAAAAACGGAGGATAAGAATGTCATTTAATAGACTGCTCTTGGTACTACTCTACTACTGCTATATCCACGTCACTGCTATAAATGGGAACAACAAACGCAACAATTTTCCCTCTCCGTTTCTCTCTTCCTTTTTCTTCTCTGTCATCAGAATCAGTTCGTCGGAAAAATCAGAATAAATGCTCTCGTTTTCGTTTTCTCCGATCGGAATCTCTTGAACAAATTCACAAGTTTTCTCGTTAGTTTCACTTGATTCTCCACTCCATTTCTCGATTTCTGGAGAAATTTTGTCGTTTTTCGTTCAGAAATCGAAGACGAAAGCAGCGGAAACCTAGGGTTTCGAAGATGGAACTGGTGCGATAATCTCAAACTTCGAACCTTGTTTTAGCTTTAAAGAAGATGATTTTGAAGCATTTTTCTCTAAGATTATTCGTCATAGCGTTAGAAATTTCTAATTTCGTCTTGAGATTTCTCTGAAACGAAAGCTTAATCTTCGATTTTTCTCTCGTTTTCAGGAATCTATGAGTTTCGATTTCACTGAGTTTTGCGACTCCTACTCTCTTTATCCCACCGGAAAAGTATCTCCGGTTGATTCTTACGTCACCGAGCTCGACAACGAAGAGATCAGAGACAACTACGCGTTTTTAGATTCCGTTTTAAAAGACAACAAATCTGAGTTTATTTCTCACGCTAAACGCATCTTAGTCGGAGAAGACGCAGAATCAGAGAGAATCGAAGCTATAAAGCTTCTAAGCGCTTGTTGCAGTTACGATTCTATTAACTGTGCTTCGTCAATCATCAACGGTGACGTTGGATCGGTTCCGTATATCAACGATGTATGTTCCGATACAGGACTCTCGCCGTTGCACACGGCGGCTGAGTATAACGCGCTACGGTGTGTTGAGATGCTTCTGAAACGACGCGCTCGTACTGATATGAGAAGCAAAGATGAACGCGCTTTGATTCCTCTGGAGCTATCTCTCTCCAATGGCAGGTAGAATTTGCATTGACCTTTTGATAAATTTGGGAAATAAAGCTTGGACATGTGTTAACTCTACTATATTTGGAAAAATGTTGAAAACTCTGGCTAATGATACTGTATAGTGACTATTTTTGTTTCTATGTCAATTTTGCAGCATAGATGTGACATGGAATGCAAGTAGTGACTCGATTGGAGACTTGATCGTTTTGCTTGGTGACAAGGTTAAACACTAATTCCTTTTAACACGTCATTTGGTTGCTTGGAGAAACCATGTTTGATTTTGGAACTATTTAGATATCTGTAGAAAGGAATCAAGAGATTTGCAAAGCTTGTCATGTATATTTGAGCCTTTTATGTGTATTTAGGACTTGAAAATAGTGAAACTATGTTGATTAATGGAATGTAAGAGACTTTGCAAAGCTTTGTCATGTAAATTTGAGTCATTTCTTATGTATATAGGACTTGACGGTTGTGAAACTATGTTAATTAATGGAATGTAAGAGATCTTGCAAAGCTTTGTCATGTAAATTTGAGTAATTTCTTATGTATTTAGGACTTGACGGTAGTGAAACTATGTTGAATAATGGAATGTACGAGACTTTGCAAAGATTTGTCATGTAAAGTTGAGTCATTTCTTATGTGTAGGACTTGACGGTTGTGAAACTACTTGCTGAGAAGACAAAGGAAGTGGACGCTGTGGCTTTTGCATATGCCAAGGCTGGTGAGATAGTTTCTTTGACTGCATTGTTGATTGTAGCAAGTGAGAAGATCAGAGAGGCAACTGTAGCATTACGTGATGATGATGATTCTGTGCCAAAGTGTAAAAGGGAAACGATCTATGAGGCTGTTATTCAAGAAGCGTTGCGTAGTAACAGCTCGACGCAAAGTGTATGCAGCGAGAAAAGAATGGTTTTTCTTAGAGAGATTGAGCTTCTTCAGCTCTTTGGTGCTGCAGTTTTTAGTGAATCTGTGGATAAGCAAACTTCACCACTTATCTCCATTGTACAGGTGAGACTTAGTTACTACATTAGCATTATTATGTGAACTACACATGCGGTGATGCGGATTATTGAGGGTTGTAATGTAATTTTTGTAGGCAGGAGATGAAGCTGTTCTTGAGCTGTTTATAAACACCAACTTAGATGTCAACGAAAAAGATGCAGAAGGGAATACTGTTCTTCAATGTAGCCTGAAGGGATCGTCTGTGCCACATAAGCAGCAAACCAGGTATAATTTCTCTCTATTACCTTAATCATATATAATAAGGTCGCATGATGATTACTTCACACCTTGAGAATAATACATTTGCGTATCCAGAATCATGAGCCTACTTATTGCACACGGTGCCCGAGTTAACCAAAGGAACAAGTTGGGTTTATCTGCAGTACACTTTGCTGCTGCAAATGGCAATTTATCTGCACTTGAGGTATAATTCGCTTGTTTTTGTGCTTCTCATCCTAAGCTGAAACAAGATTATGACACTTGGAATGAATTTGAGCCTGCAGATTCTACTAGCGGCCAACCCTGAGTTAGTTAATGTCAAGACAGTAATCAAAGAGACGCCACTATTCTTCGCAGTGAAGAATAACCATCTTGAGTGTGTTGAGCTGCTTCTTCGATGTGGTGCAAGTATAGAGATTCATAATCTACGGTGAGGCAATACGCAATCCACTTGTTTTATCAAACTCATTGACATGTATCCCTCTGTGACTTAATCTGATGTTTCATACATGTGCAGAAAGCAGAGACCAATAGAGTTGACACAATCACAAGATATACGTTTCCTCCTTAACCCAACAAATATCAGTTGCTGTAAGTATTGTTCTTCTATATGGCCAAAAACATGCAAGAATTGTGCTTTTCTTTTTACATAAACAACTGTGAAATTTGCAGTCAGCAAAGAAACAGAACTTGCCCAGCCACAAAGTGCAGCAGTTCCAACAGACGCAGATGATGAGGAAACTCTTGGATTTCTCGGAAATTCCGTTCCACCATGGCTCAAAAGTTTTGTAAACTGGCTTCCTCGGTATCTTCGAGATACATCAGCGAACTGGAGAGGGGCTGGATATCCCCTGTCATCCCTCAAAGCCGATTTCCGTGCTGTTTTTGGAATGGATCTCGATCACGCCTCTCTTGGTTTCCCCAAGCTCATCGACTTCATCAAATATTTTCCAAAACTCTGTCAAATGAAAGTCGTCCCCATAGGTAAAATTGGAGCTGCAACACACTGGGTGATGTTACCCACCAAATCCAAGAGTTCTCAGCTCAAAGGAAGACCTCCTGAGCCACTCATTATTAGTAAGAATGACTCTGTTGCTTCTCCCGACAAACCAAAAGCCTTATCAGTTCCTCCAGGTTTTAAATTCTTACAAGAAGCACATGACTCTAAAACCTTCAAAGCACCACCAGAACCAAAACCTCAACCTCCTCCTCCGTTGACTACAGCATCTTCCAACAACCAACGTCAACTAAAACATCCGGTACTAGAGACACTTACAAGGATCAGAAACAGCACTTCCGTATTCTTTCTCCGTGAGTTCGACTTCTACCAAGTAAGCAATCAAACCCCAGTCCATACTCTTTGATGTTTTTCATATATCTGTATCTCACGTGAAGGACATATTTGACAGAGCTATGAGACATGTTTAAAGGAAGGCATGTGTTTCTGGTGCAACAAGAACATGCTTCTATGGGCAAACTTCCCATGCCGACACAAACTTTGGTGCAGCTCTTGTAAACAACAGGTTACTCAATCTGCTCTAGGAGAGAAGAGCCTTGAGGAGGACCATCATAAGTGTGTGGTCTGTGATGCAAAAGTGGAACGTTTCGTCTTATCTCCACCGTTTGAATCAGATCACCATAGGCTTTCAAGTGATCGCCCTAACAACGCAGAATTAGCCACTTCATTCCTTCAATTCCTCAGCATAAGGAAGTAATAATGTTTCCCACTTTTTCTTCTTAGTCACTAATCACCTCACCTGTTTAACTAAAACTTCTTCTAACGATTTGTTTTAAGTTACTGCAGTTCCATGAACAAGATGATACATCGTGGGATATAGAGAAAGGAACTTACACAACAACTTCGACTTCGTGTGGTGGTAATTGGATTTTAATAAACTTGTAAATACAAACGATGATGGAGATGAAAGCTCTTCTTTAACAACATTTAAAGTACATATGGAACATTTCGCGATCCAAACCGGTCAACATATTATGGAAAATCTTTAATGGAATCCGAGTTTGTGTTTCTTCACAATCTCTTTAAGTCCATACATCAAAAATTGTCTTCTTCTACAATTATTTTTCTGAATAATCGAATTTTATAAATCCTCATGTTACGCTAATCCTAAAAACCTACAAAGATTATAAAACACTATTACCACAAAAAGGTAAGTGTAGAAGATTATAGGCATAACAATCCATAATAAAAGGTCGATAGGAGCTTTGTAACTAAACCCAAGCACTATCATCAGATAATACTTTCTTAACCTTCCATTGAAGTTAATCCATGGGAAGTATTCAATTGCATCCAGAAGCAATCCTATAATCATGTGAAACCAAAAGTAATTAGGTAAATGTTCTTTCTTCACCATCCACATGAACCTTCATCGAGTTTTTGTCTTTACATGCTCTCACAGTATGCATAGACTTTGTTTGTCTCCGGTCATGAATAAAGATATAGTTCAATGATAATGATGATGCAACGTTCCCATGTGCATTTGCTGCAAAGTTCGGAGAAACACACTCTTTTTGGTTTCAAGTGTTTCTTTAGATATGGATTCTGATTCCTGCAAGTAATATGCAAAACATATCAAAATGGCCGAATATATCATAAAACCATGCCGGTTTACATTAAACCGATAACGAATAGGTTAATCAATTTTCGTTGTTCTTCAGTATGACAATTGTTGAATAGTAGTAATTTATAAATCTTGGGTTTTCAACTTCTGTTTTATAATCTTGTTGACATATATCGGAGATTGGAGAAAGTAAAATCTGAATGGAGAACAAAACTGAACATAAGATATTATCAAAAACAAACATTTGCTCTTTTCGTGAACAAAAAGACTCATGTCTATCGATCCCTAGAACATAAGTAATTCTCCATCACTCTTATAATCCAAAACGTCTTCTTCTAACTCTTTGGCCCAGTCTTCTCTTTCGCCTTTTGAAGCTTCAAAACCTTCTTCACAATCTTCTGTTCTTCAACCAAGAAGGCCCTAACAATCCTGGAACAGAGAAAACGTGCAAGATTAGTTGATATACTACTCTAAGAAACCAATTTTTAAGAAACAAGTTCAATACACTTGCCTCTCCCTAACAGCTACTCCAGATAGAACACCACCATATGCACGATTCACTGTCCTCTCGTTCCTTGCCAACCTCGGCCTTTTGTATTCAGCGGGTCTCAAATGCGGAATCTTCAGAAAACAAACATCGAATGTAAAGCCTATGATATCATGCTAATTATGTGAGAAGAAAGCTATTTATGAGATTCTATAGAGATTATCGATAGATTAAATATCTGTGTAACCCTAGATTATTCGATTAGAACCAGAGACCACTGACCAGAGACCAGTAACTACTAACTACTAACTCATTACATACCAGGTACTAGTTTTCAACAAACACAAGAAAAGAAAAAAAACAGAGAAAATCCAACGATAAGTTATCTTAAGTGCAGGCTATCAAGTTAAAGTAAGAAGTGAGTTTAATGGATATGGAGTCTAAATCTAGTAAGACGAGTTACCATGTAAACCTTGTTCTCAATATCAATGGAAAAAAAGTATGAAACCTTTCACTATTTTACCAAACTTTAGACAAACCAGCAACCAACAAATTCTTGAATTCAACCCCTAAAGTGTCTATGTTTTGATTTAAGTTCCAGATTTGGTCTTAATGACAAAACAAGTTGTTATCAGTATAATCAAACCAAAACTAAGACATATTATTCACAAACTGCCGTAAACACGACACAAATTTAAAAATTCACAAACTTTTTTCCAAATTGGTTGTTAGAAAGCAGCTAATACAGAACAAGAGATATGAACTAAACTTGCTTATCTTAAGAGCAGGCTATCAAGTCAAGGTAAGAAATGGAACTCAAGTCTACTCTACTAAGACGAGTCTAGAACAATGGCAAATAAGCATGAAGCTTTTCACTATTTAACCAAGCTAAGACAAACACTTTAATCCCTAAAGTTTCTAGATTCTAAGTCTAGTTCCAGATTTTGTCTCAATGCCAAAATGAATCAGAACACAGATAGCCAAAAACTCAGACACATTGTTCACTACACATAAACACAAACCCTTATACCAACATTCACAAACTTCTTTCCAAATTACTAGAGAAAACAGCTAACACACACACAAAACAAGAGACATGAACAGAATTTGAAACAGATAATCTAACTAAACTCAAACACGAAGTCTAACACATAAATTCATAAACTTTCTTGAAACAGAGAATCTAACTAAACTCAAAACACGAAACCTAACACCAAATTGCACAAACTTTCTTGAAACAGAGAATCTAACTCAACTCAAAACACGAACTCTAACACCAAAATTCACAAGCTTTCTTGAACCAGAGAATCTAACTAAAGTCTAAACACGAACCCTAACACCAAAATTCACAAACTTTCTTGAAATGGAATAGAAAAGTTTACCCCTTGGATTCTTTTGCCAGTAACAGGGCACTTAGGTCCACTAGCTCTCTTGTTCGTCTTCTGGTAAGTCAATTTCCCACCTTTAAGCCAAAAAAAAAAAACCCAAATTTTCAACAAAAATTTCAATAATCTTTCAAGAATCACTACTAGGAGACATTATAGAGCTTGGTACATTACCAGGAGTTTTGACGATGCGGTGTTGGTTGGACTTGGTAGCGTAAGAGTGACGTGATCGGTAAACAAGACGTTGAACCATTTTCGTTGAGCTCTGAGGTCAGTAAGTGACGGCCAAAGGAGATAAAAAGTTTTGATACGAGTTTATATATGGAGGTGATCTACTGAGCCCTAGATCTAATGGATTTGGTGAGCTTACGATTCGACGGCTCAGATTGATTATAGTGTTTTTTTTTTGTTTTTTTTTTTATTTTTATTTTGTGTATCTATCATAGTTTTTTTTTTTTTTTTGTCAATCGTATGATTCGTATCTATCATAGTTTCTTGATTTGCATTTTGTTAGTAAAACTTTGTTTGTGTATATTGTCTTGTTGTTTTAAATTAAACTAGGGTATTTAGAAACTTTGTGTGTTTTTGGAATCTTGGTTTATGGCTTTTTAAAATTTGATGTCGGATTAAAAACCAAAAAAATTTAGTTATGTTTGATTTTTGGTGATCTTAATTGTTTGGAAATAAATTAAAAAATTATTTTCAAATTAAAAAATCTTTAAGAAATTTCTGTATGCTTGATAAAATTTGGTAAATCGATCGTTTACTCAGTAAATTCCGTAAGTTTAGAATTTCAGTTGTGTGGGAAAAAATTTAATATAATCGAAAAAAATTTAGAAAAAAAAACATTTTATTAAACCAATCGATTTAGAAGCTCCAAACCACACATGATTTATAATTGAAATGTATTAACTTTGATTATTAGTTAACATATGAAGATGATGTTAAAAACATTGTTATAAAAATAGCAAATCTATTTAAAATGTATGGCAATGCTTTTAACCGTGGAAAATTGGGATCTAAAATCTATGATCTAAAGGGATTAGAGTGGTCACGGTTTAATTCAGAGACCTCCGGTGAAAACAAAGTTCGCCTCGATATGAATTTACTAGAAGAAGAGTTGATTTTTGTTGAAATAAAAGCCAAGAGAAACTGGAAAGTGCTATTTAGAATGATACTCTCTTCTTATCGGTAAGTAAAATAAACAAACCTCTTTTATGTGACTGTTGTCATGTTGAAAATAACATTCACTTATCTAAAGTAATATGTGAACACATAATGCACAATAAAATGTATAGTTAGCATTATGTGTTCATAGGTAATCAACATAGAAATTAGCTAGCATGATCTGTTAAGTAATGCAGCTATAAATTCAACCTTGTTCTAAATGTTTCTTTGTGTGTCTTATGTAGGTGATGAAGCAACGTAAAGTAAACGACACCAAGCTTTAACGAGTTCCCGAAATAGTTACGGGTACTTCTCGTGAGGGATCTCTTGTCTTCAAACTTCCACTAGAAATCAAGGTTACACAAAACTCTCAATGAGATTACAAGAACAACTCAAGAAGAATGTAAAACTCACGACACAAACCTAAGAAGAAAACCCTAGCTTCTATTTAAAGGCTCTGTAATTTTTAACTTCGGTTTTGTATTTCATGTATACTCGTAGGCTTATCTCACTTAATAATGCCCAAGTCTTCTTCTCTTTGTTTTTTAGTAAACGTGAGGCCCATTCGATTTGGGCTATAAGTATTGTTTGGGTCAATACTTTACAAAACTCTATCTTGACCAAACAATTATCCCAAGTTGGTTTCTCCGACAAAGTCAAAACACCGACTCGTCGTCTTTCTTCTTCTTAGATTTTCTATGACACTAACATCTCAGACTCTTCCTCGAATCATTGCCGATGTCATTCACCGTCGGTGTCTAACTCCGTCTCCGATCTTCTTTCACAGGTAAACTCGAGCTTCTTTCTTCTCAGTTCAATTTCAAAAAAATCTCTGAAATCAAAACCTCAAACCTTCTCCGATTTCTCTGTTATTTTTCTCGACATCCTTAGACTCCTTCCTGTTTAATAACACAGAGTCACAAAAAAAAATATTTTTTTCTAAAACAATGTACTCTTTTGATAACAAAAATTGCTTTTTCTTAATGGACATGTACCTTGTATACTATGAAATTTTCCTGATCATGTTATGGACTCATGACGTACCATTTCAACTAAATAACCGACAAGATAAAATTAGATGACAAACATAAAGTTAGCTTTCTGTTTATTTTGCCAATGGCTAAGTCTTAATACCACCACCAAACAATACTCCATGGCCAAACAAAACAAATATCTGAGAACTTGTACTCAAAAAGTTAGTTAATGGGGTCCAGTTCATATAACTAGGCCCGTTATTCAATCATCAGGCCCAACAATTCAATAGTCATAATAGTATTTTAACCAACCTCATAACCAAACCGGTTCTCAATTTGATTTTGGTTAAGAAAATTCATACCGATCGATCGCATGCACTGTCACAAATAATAAATAGGGACTGAAACTCTGCATTTGTTCTTATGTATCAACTGCATGTGCGCTTGCAGTGCTTTTATTTCTCTTCATTGACAAAATTAAATATTTTAGTTTTTCATTTTTTTTGGAAAATTTGTTATAGTACCTAATATTTATTTTAATGCTTAAAGTTTTATTTTTCTCTTTTTTTATACTAATTAAAAATAGGTATTTTACGCTGGAAAATGTGTTTGTCCCGTCCCTACATCACAAGCACCATCCATACATCACACATGCATTCCATGTTATTAAGAAGTTGTCATTTAATATAAATCGTAATCGCAAATCATTTATATGTATTTTTCAAGAATATTTTGCCTCTTTATATTCCACCTCCATACTTATTATGATGATTCATATCTTTCTACAATTGAATGCGTTATGTGATATATTATATAGTAAAAAGAATACCAAATCTATAATAGTGTTTTATGAAGTATACATCTTCCAAATTTGTGGCCGTCGAATTTTCGTATTACATAATTACATTGAAATTTATTTTCGGATTTGCAACTTGTACTAAAATATTATGGCTACGAGTGATAGTTTAATGAAATGATGAAATTGTAGAAACATATAAAATAGTGGAATGTAATGAAAATTCTGGAGCGAAAATTAATTTTCTTTCCAATCAAAAAATACATATTGATCGAATCTAAACTAGTAAACAAAACAATATTAATTTTTAACGATAAAAATTAGTAGTAAAAGATTACAATACAAAATAAAAACAGTGTGACTACAAATAACGGTATGATACAGTTATAGTGTCACTTTTGCATACCATATCTTCTTACTTAAGATGTGGTAAAATATTACTATCAAAGCCATATTTTTTGTTTATGGTTAAGAACTTAAGATGTTCACAAAGTCTTTTCAATTTCAGTGGTTAGATGAACCTTTCAGTTTCAATTAATATGATTGATTAACAGCCTGTTTAACACAAGTTTATTATATCTAACGACTAACGTAAATCCTAAACTTTCCACAAAGTGAAATTTCACACTTGTAAAAATTATCATTCAAAATTCCTACCTATATAAATAAATAGATATAGCACAACATTGACAAAAGAGAAGAAATTAAAGTAGTCTCGTGTCTCTTCTTCTTCCTTTTCTTCCGGCCTCGTGAAAACCAAATTGATTTCATCTTTTTACTTGTTGACATATACATATACATACACATGTTCACATAAATAGATATAGTTGTATATGACTTGTGTCTATCATCCAAAAATCATCATTATCTTATATACCAAATTCGTATACAAATATCTCTTAATCTCTTTTCACCACCTACGATAATGACATATATTAACGTACAATTAATTTCATCTTAAAACTTTTAATGTGGTTGTATGACTTCTGTCTATCAAATCCAATAATCTTCATTATCCTATATACCAAATTCTCATACAAATATCTCTATATTTCTTTTAATGTGGTTGTATGACTTCTGTCTATCAAATCCAATAATCTTCATTATCCTATACACCAAATTCTCATACAAATATCTCTATATTTCTTTTCACCACCTACGATAACGACATATGTAACGTACAATTAATTTCATCTAAAACTATGTTTACCAAAAACTCAAAATGTGGTCCATTAACACTAATCGCGAACCTTACCCGAATAAAACGTTCAACATCATATATTCATATATGTTTATGTAACGTAATACATATAAACGCATATATATATATATACATCTATATATGTAGAGAAGTCGCTAACATCATGAATGACGTAGACCATCATGTAGTTTGACAATGGCCAAAGACCCACTGGTTCAATCCAAAACAGCAATTTTTTCTTTTCTTCTCTATCTTCAAATATAAATAATTCGTTTTGATATAAAAACCAAAACAGCAAATCATGACGCAGAGAAAATCTCGTTCGTCAAAAGACCCTTTCATGAATTTCTATTATTAACAAAGCCTATGCATTACACATAAATGCAATAGCCACTATTCAATTCTTAAAATTATCGTAGCAATAAATCAAAAGTGAGAGAGGGAGATATCATATCATATATCATTATCATGTTATCATGCATGTCCCCATTATTCTTTAATTTTTTTAATAACATAACCAATAAATTATTAAACCTAATAATAATAATATTTTTTGTGTTATTAGGGTTTTGGAAAGAAGCAAGCCCACATTGAATGCCACGCGGTTTTGTATGGAGGGCAGAGACTTTTCCTTTTGCCACACAGCTGACTTCTGAGGCTTTACCTCCACTTTTGTAGTTAATGCATTACACATTTATTTTTTTTATTTTTTTCATATTTTTATTTATTAAAATATACAATTTCAGAGACCCAAGAGTCCAAGACCAAGAGGGGTCAGCAAATTTCTCTCTCTCTTTTTATATATATATAGAAGAAGAAGTGGACATAGACCTTTGTCGCCAAGCTTAACCATTAGATCCATTTCAAAGCTAAGCGTACTAATTAGTGTACTAAGGGTAGTGTGACTCATCATTACCATCTTAAGTTGTTTCAACTTTCTTCTATTTTCTTGGCAAAGAGTTATAGTGGGAAATAAAGAGAGGCTAAAAGGAGTGATTAAAGAATTAATTAGTTAAATTAAGGGAAATCAAGATCATCATAATGGTGAGGCCTCCTTGTTGTGACAAAGGAGGAGTGAAGAAAGGGCCTTGGACTCCTGAAGAAGATATCATTTTAGTTACTTACATCCAAGAACATGGTCCTGGTAATTGGAGAGCTGTTCCTACCAATACTGGTATGTCTAATCTTCATTCTTCATCTCTCACCTCTCTCTCTCTCTATAGATTTGTATGTTGATATTATTTAGATTAATCATTGAGAGTGAGAGATAGATAAGGAGTCAGAATGGTTTGGATTGAAATTTGTGTTCTCCAAATGGGTTTTGATTTCCATAGGTTTCTTTCTTTAGGTCTTTAAGATTGTGGAATTAGCTTAATGAAAAACATATGTTGAAATTAGGGTTTTGTTTATTGCCCTTAATATTTAAGATCTAATGCATGAGATCTTGTTATTCCTTTATATATTATTAAACTTAGATATTTTCTCATTAATTGGTTTTTAATTTTTGTTTGTTCTTGTAAATTTTCAGGGTTGCTTAGATGCAGCAAGAGTTGTAGACTTAGATGGACAAACTATTTAAGGCCAGGAATCAAAAGAGGCAATTTCACTGAACATGAAGAAAAGATGATTGTTCATCTTCAAGCCCTCTTAGGAAATAGGTACAAAAACTAATTAATTACCCCTTGATTTCTCAAATTTTGTCGCTCACAACATTTTCCAAATTAGACTATTTTTTTTAGTGAGCATTTAATATTTTGTGTAGATGGGCTGCAATTGCGTCATATCTTCCACAAAGGACAGATAATGACATTAAGAACTATTGGAACACTCATTTGAAGAAGAAACTCAACAAAGTCAATCAAGATTCTCATCAAGAACTTGACCATTCCTCGCTCTCATCTTCACCGTCGTCTTCTTCCGCTAATTCCAACTCAAACATCTCAAGAGGCCAATGGGAGAGACGACTTCAAACCGATATCCACTTGGCGAAAAAGGCTCTCTCTGAGGCTTTATCTCCTGCTGTTGCACCAATCATCACATCTACAGTGACAACAACATCCTCTTCAGCTGAATCAAGACGCTCTACTTCCTCAGCTTCCGGGTTTCTTAGGACGCAAGAAACATCTACAACTTATGCCTCAAGCACCGAGAATATCGCAAAATTGCTCAAAGGGTGGGTGAAAAACTCGCCAAAGACTCAAAACTCCGCGGATCAAGTCGCTTCTACAAACTCTGAGGTAAAGGAAGGGATCAAGAGTGATGATAGGAAGGATTGTGCAGGGACATTTCAGTCATTTTCTGAGTTTGATCACTCATATCAACAGGCTGGATTTTCACCTGATCATGAGACCAAACCAGACATAACTGGATGCTGCAGTAACCAAAGTCAATGGTCTTTGTTTGAGAAGTGGTTGTTTGAGGATTCTGGTGGACAGATTGGTGATATTCTATTGGATGAAAACACTAATTTCTTCTGAAGAGTTTGCTTAATCACATGGTTCTAATTTTAGGATCCTCGTCTCTACTATTTTTTTTTTTTTTTTCCAAATTAACATGCTTAGATTATCGTGAGATAAATCATTAATAATTTTATTTATTTTCCCTCGTTAATTACAATTAATGATGGGGTTGTTTTATATATATGGCCCTGTGAATTCTGAAGGGGCCTGATATATATGTCCGCCCAATGATTTTAGTATTGGTGTAAAATTCTATATCTATTTTTTATTTATTAAAATGTTACTATTGTTTGATTTTTTTTTCTGCTTTGAACTTGTAAGTATGTTATACTTTTGAGATGTTAACATAAAAATAATCATCTGTTACAAATTACACTTAAACCTATATAAAATTGACAAAAAAAATTACATATATTGGAATGTCCAAGAAAATCCAACTTAGCCGTTTGTTTGATTCGGAAAATGGTTAATATAAGGATTAATTAGTACTATGTGTAGTGGGTGTGTGTTATAGAAAAATAATCAATACTTACAACTTGCCCTTAATTTTCAATTTATTTTTCCTTAAATTAACCGTTAACTCACTAAGAAAAACACTAACATTTATTTTAGAGTGTCAAATGGCGCCGCTCAATAAAAGAAATCTTAGATTTAAAGATAGCCTTACTATTGGTGAATTTGAAAGACCTACTAATAAAGAAAATAGTACTAGTAAAGAAAATTAAACGAAATATTTATTGCATGAAATAAATAGGGCCGACAAGGTTTAAAGAAACTAATTATAAAAAGATATAAAATATAAATTTTTAAAACGGGATGGATTGGCACTATAAATATTGAAAGTGATGAAGAATTAAAGTTTGACTTTCTTTCTTGTGACCTTTTTTTCTTGTGACCTTGTTAGTTGTGACTTGCATCACATTGTTACTACTACTAGGTATGAAGAAGTCAATATTGCCATTAATTTAGCTTCTCCTTTGATTTTAAGATATCGCCACTTGTTATGCGATGGTAACAAAGGAAAACATGCTAAAACTGAACCGGAGACATATACTTTATAGAACTGAAAACGTAAGTACATATATTTCCTATATTTCACAAAAAAATATCATTTTGATACATTTCATATAAATTAAGAAAAATTTAAATTATACATACATACCTCTATTTAATAAGTGATTAATAATTTAAATTCAATGAAAAATAGCTTTGAATTAAGATTAAATTAAGAAATTTAGTGTAAAAATCACATTGGAAATGTAAAATGACATTCTTTGTTAAACAAAAATAAAACTCTAAAATGACTCTTTTTATGAAACAAAGATAGTATTATAAGTAAAATTTTAAAGTTTTAGCAATGAACAATGGATTAACCGTCAAATTAAAAAAAGTTTCACTAAATACTTAAAGATATCGATAGGGATTTCTTTTGCGTTTTTAAAATATAAATGGCGTCCTTCAGTGGCGGACCCAGGAATTGTTTTTACCCAGGTCATTAAAAAAAAAGGGAAAAAATTAAACCTATTACGTCAAGACAGGGACTTGAACTCAGGATACGGAGGTCATGGACACACAAATACCAACTCAGCTGCTGTTTTTTTTCTGGTTTCTTACACATAAACAAATTTATATCATTATTTTACTAGGTCAGTTGCCCACCCTCTCTCCTTACTGGGTCCGTCCATGGCGTCCTTTGATACTTTTAACGCATATCTAAGAACTATTGAATGAATTAAATGTATATATTTGCTTTGACTATAAGATAAACTATATAATTGTTTGTGAAAACGTACTTAAAATTTTATAGTGAAAGTAATTTTTAAGAAAAACTTATTTGAATTCATCTATTTTGTTTTTCAATGAATTCATCTTTATTTATATAGAAATGATGGAAACATAAGTTTATCAAAATGAATATCGGAAGCAAAAAAATTTGAACGTAGTAAAATTGCATTGGCATCTCGCATAATTGTTCTAAACAATAAAAAAACCCACAAAATCAGCTAATACATTGGATATGTCCACGAGATAATAACTCGAGTACTCAACTCTTGATAACTTTAAGTTCTACAAGAAAAAAATTGTATGCTGTTGGGAAACATAGACTGAGATTGTCAGTGTTACCGAATGGTTAATATGTCTGAGACTGATTCACGCAAAAGCAAGTTAGAAGATAACCATGTTCGGTCTTATATATGAAAGTTAAGTGGACTAAACTTAATATGATGCCAAAAAAACAACTTAATATGTGGAGATGGCTTACTCCTGAGATCAATCAAACGGCTTGATCACACAAGTTGACCAGTGAAAAAAAAGCATATTTTCTTCTATTGTTTTGTTTGCGAGATGTAACACTTCAGATATAAACAATGACAAATGGAGTAAAAAGTAACAAAAGACAATCACATTTTGTATAATATAAATATATATTTTATATAATATGAATAGAATTTATAAATAGTTAGTGTTCATTATTAATTACTATGATATATATATATATATCACCTATAATATGTAGAAAAACTAAACTAAAATGAAAGTATAATATGTTCTACTAAAAATTTTAGTAAGAGAATATTTTTACTGAATCACTCATTTCAATTTTTGAGTTGATAAAACAGGAAAAAATGTTTAATTTATTTTCTTAAGAGATTATTAATTTAAATATTTTAATTTAATTATATGTTTTTGTATAGACCTAAATTTAAATTTGTAATTAGAATTTAGCAAAGTTTAAGGAAAAAACAAGTTGAATATTTAAAAACCAAGAGTGCCATAACACCCATCTCCGAACGAGTAATATATGTAACTAAGACCATCATATAACCCCCACATTTTTAGATATGAATTTTATACATATAAATAATAAATAAATCCATGACTCTTAGATAGTGATATGTTTCAAGTATTTTTTTGAAAAATAATTAGTTAACAAAAAATTGACTAAATTAATTTTTACATTACAACAAAATAAGTTAGTAAATTAACTTGATGAATTATTTTATGTAAATTATGGCAAAAAAATTTAGAAAACTTCTTTAAAATATCACTAAAATCTTAAACTTATTAACATAATTGGTATAAGACACCAATATTTGGAACCAAAAGTTCTTTTATTTCGCGTATCCGATACCAATAGGTGCGAGACTGGTAACAAGTCTTCCAACAATCTCAGATAACTTGCCCATTCTTAAGTAGTGTCTGGCTTTACACCTAATTATAATATATTACTATTTTATATCATGTAATTTAATCTATAGATTTGTTTACCCTGTATTACTCTTATTTTATGATAATTGTGAATTTTGAACTAAGAAACATATTTCCTCCCATGCTGTAAAGACAAAAATTAAAATTAATAAAAGAAGTTATCTTGGATCAAATAAGTTGGCAAAATAAAATAACACAACCATATAGATATATATGGTGAGCTTGGTTTTGGGCCCATGCTATTAAGCCGAATAGCAAAGAAAAAAGTTGAAAGAAGCTGAAGAATCATGTGCGATTCATGTCTCAAAGCCCACCCAACCCTCTGGCTTCTATGTATTGAAAGGTTTACTTTTTAGTTTTTACCTTCTTTTTTTTTGGGTTGAGACGTTAATGATTTCATTTGAGCTGCTAACAGAATGCTTACATTAGATAAGAGAGTTTTAAGCCTGAATATTTTATTGGCCTTTGGAGAGGAGATACATATTTTACACATGAGTTGTTCAAGACTATATATATCAGTGAATATGTAAATATCTTTTACAAGTTAGAGTATATAGCTGAAAGGCACTACAAATTAAATATCGAACTTGTAAGTTGTAATGAAAGGCACCAAACTCAGAATAGCCGAAAGCCATAAATAAATATCGTCTAAATTATAGCTGAGTGGTGTTAAAGAAGTGAACAATATTTACATTTACTCGATATATGATATATGTCGTCATGAATGAAATGATACTCCACTTCTAAACATTTCATATGTTTGTTAAATACCGAGTTTGGGACAAGAGCAATCAGAGCATGTGCACCGGTGAATCTTTCATCCAAGTCTCTCACGTAAAAAAAATAAAAATAAAATAATAAAAAGTATTATTTAATTGTAAGAGTCTCTAAAAAAGTACTGTGCTGACTGTACTTTCACATATAGCCCTTACTGTTTTGCATTTCACCAATCAGACTCTACTGACTTTTTCTTATTCTTAAAGTCCTTACAGTGCAACTGCCCTCAACTTCCTATTTTCTTTTTTTTTTCTTTTTTTTTTATAAAATCACAAAAACGGGACTTTTGGTTGCTGTACAAAAAAAAAAAGAAAGAGAAAATTTACTTCTTTAATAAATGACACCTATCTTTTGTTAGCAATAACATTATTTAGCTAAATATAAATACTTTAAAGAGACTAATAAAATACAAAAATTTATTTGATAATATAAAAACAAATTGTAAATACGTAAATTTAATTAATAATATGTTTGAAGACATACAAAAACATTACTTTAATTCATCGTAACTACATAAGTAATTCTATAAAAGTGTTTTTTTTTTCCATATTATTGATTATTTTTAACGATTAAACATTATATATTTATTGACTAATTAAAACTGTGCAATTAATAAAAATAAATGATTACTATTATTAGCCCATATTAGTATATCAAGAAACATTTGTGAAATGATAAAAAAAATGAGTTTTTAGTGTTGTAATTTCTTTTTGTGTTTGAATATTTATTTTTTGTTATAATTATCAAAAAAAGTTTTGGTCAATGTGATTTTGAATTTACTAATTATGCTAAAATAAATATTTCTGTCACAAATCGATTTTTGAAAATAATAGTCGTAGTCTCAACAACCAATCAGACTTTTATCAAAACTGAAAGTAACAGTTACAATCTTTACAGCCGAAATCTCTACAGCCAAAATTTTACAGTAAAAGTCTATAGTAACAGTCGTTACCAATCGGCCCCAAAATCTCTCACTTCAGAGACATCACCTTTTTGATAAACTATCACAATTAAATAATATTTTATTATTTTATTATTTTTCTTTTACATAAGAGACTCTCATGTTATCACAATAATGACGAATAAAGGAATACCACAATTCTACAAAACAAAGTCTGGCGCGTGACTTTGATGCGTCACCCTCTTTTGTTCTTCTTTAATTCAAAGTTGAAAACCTAGCTTTCATTTTCTGATAAGCCCAACATAAAATTGACGGATGGTTTGACCTGTGGTTCTATGAGTTTGATCGTGGTACAGTTGGAAAAGGGTATCATCAACCATCTTTACCCCTGCACGGCTTTCTTCGATT